TCAAAAATCAAAAAAGGCTGACATGAACAAACCGTTGAAAGACTGTGGAATTAGAAGCCGTAAGCATTAACGACGCCGTAATCGTGAAAAGTGGGTAATAAAGAACTGACTGTTTTTCAACTGACAACGAATGAAGTGTTAAATATGCAGTCAGCTGGCACTGAAAGTTGTAAACACTACAGTTGGGGGAAAATTATTAAATGGAATTAAGAAGGTTAAAATTAACCTCAAAACATCTTAAAATAAAGCCATTTTTGTTGAAAAAATGTGATAGATATATAAAAGAAATGATGGCTTTAAATATAACTTAGAAGGTAAAAGATGAAAACAGAAATGTGAAGGTAGTATCGTACCTGTCAGATCAAGAGGTTCAACACCAAGTAAAAAAACAGCAAAACTGGGAATATTTTTTGATGCGTAGTGACCAGAAAGAACAAAGTTTATCAAATGAAAATTTTTACATCGCTCTGCTGTTGATGTCACATTTCCGTGTTCTACTAAGAGCTCGACTGCTGAAGATGATAGCAACAGCGAATTTCTGAAAATGTTTTGAAGTGGTATCGTATAAAAGCGATAGAGATGTTATCAGGTTTTTTGAATCCGAGGTATATACGGAAAAGCTCAAGGGAAAAATCTATATACATCTCGATCTACTCATGCGCTTTTTGGCGTAATTTCATCAACCTGTTTACTAGACAGAATTATTACTTTCATTGACAACAGTATAGAGAACCATTTACTAAAAATATCTAGAAAAACCTCTTCCTAGACAATGTATCCTTGACTACGATCGATGTAGAAATAGCCTGAAAAGACTGCCGACAATTTTAGAAACTTTTTAAGGAAGCAGAGATGGATTACCGGTAATTCAGGTCCGATAAACAGCAATCCAAAAAAGAAATGAAAATTTTGAGAGAGAAGCCGGAGGTAAAACTGTTGAAACTTTGGTGAAATATAGGAGGAGACTTTTTGAAACTAAAAGAGCCAGAAAAAAAAGATATTTAGTCAAAAAAGAAACCAGCATGCTACGCAGTTTGTATACTAGAGTTCTAACCGCAGTAACGCTTTGATTGAAGTAAGTAGTTCAGGAAGCATGGTGTATTGGAACTTATAATCCCTACAATATTTAATTTGTTTTAAATTAAGGCTTAACTAAACTCCTATTATTACGGTTAATTCCTCTTTTGTCAAAACACCGTAATTTAGATCTTTTCTAGAATTTTATATAAATTTCTTATGCTCTTTGTAACGTATTTATACTTCTCGTAGGTTGAATGGAGCGCGACAGAATAGGTAATAAGTTTATTGAAAATTTGAGAAGTGAAGAACAATTACTTTTACAAAGTTGGTGTGATTCAAAACTCTGCCGGTATTTATCAAATTATAAGCTTAATGAGTGTAAGTTTCTATGGTAGCTTGAATAGTTTGTCTGAACAAAGTATGAACTATAATTTAGCTGCTAGTAATCAAATTTTGAACAATATGTGAAGTCGCCGACCTGAATGAAAATTTGTTTGACCGTTTACAGTAATGTTTCTTCAGATTTTTCCCAAATAAAATGGCGTTAACCGCCCTTTTCTGTTTCTAATGACGACAGTAACTCATTATTTCACAATTGTGATTTAGTAAAGAAATAATAAAGTACAAATTAATGAAGTAAAGGAGTAAATAATACTCAATTGATTAAACATTACTGCAAGTAATTAATTTGAGATTTGGCAAATTACATGGTTTAGAAGGTTGGCTTAAATACAGTATAAAGTATATAAAAAACTTATAAATTTCATGGTTTCTTAAATTTGGATAATTTTGACACAGGAATGTGGCTATGAGATTAGTAGGAAATTCGAGGAATTTATCGACACATGGGAAGGAATGCCAGAATGTTATAACTCAGTAATGAAGACAATGGAACAGAAGACTTATTAGAGGAGTCACAAAGCAATAGTGAGAAAAGTACTATAAACTTCCAATATTAACTGTAGAACAACTACAAGAACTGAAGCATTCATTTTTTTTTTGTTTGCTTATATTCTAAAAAGATTTGAAAAGATTTAAACTCGCATATAAACAATTCTAAAATTTTAAGAACTTTACGAGAGAATTGCGCCCTACAAAACCCTTCTGTATGCAGAAAATCTGCAGTACCTTTGTAAAAAATTGCACGCTAAAGAACACCTTTACAAAGTTTGCAACATGTATTAGCGACAAAGTTAATTTTCAAAATTTCTTTCCTTCAAATCTTAAAAAAAAAAGTCTCGAAGTCATTTTCTAGAATTATTTAGAGTTAATATTATCAAAATGGACAATGTCGTGACAATATATAACACATCAACCCCACTGGCTGTATATCAACGTTTTTTTGCTTACCTCATCTGCAATAAACAATTATGCCTTTCACATTAGCGATCCAGTTTGAAAAGAAAAAATCCTGAAAACACCTTTCATCATAAAGCCGACAATTACTCTTCTTCAAACCGCTCATTTGTAGACTGGCAAATTGACCTTCCTTCCAAGTATCAAGTTCTCACAAAAGACTTGTCGTGTTCAGACCTGTACCTTCACAAATGACATGGACAGCTCTTTGTAATTTGAGAGCTTATCCTCCCACTCCACACCTTCTTCTAAGATATGATTCCAACAACGGTGAATTGCGCAAGAAGATTTCTTTAAGTCCTAGGATGTCGGAGGCCAAACCACCACAAAGGTGTTACATAGTCGTTAAGCTTTGACCGTCGTCTCTACCTCAGCGTTCTGTAAGAGGATACTACTACCACAACAGCACAGACAAGAGAATAAAGAAATGAAGAACAGTTACAAGAAAATGAAGTGTATGCCTATCAATTCCTTAAACTACCATGATAGCTAATGAGAAAAAACAGCGCAACACGGTGCAGCAAACTGTGGCCAACATAATGAAGACCTGTAAAGACAGGAAATGTATATCACTTTTTGTAGCCCAATTTACACTACAATTCGTTGCAGCAAAAGGCGTCTGAGTTGGGTGAATTCCAGTACCTTGCTGGTTTCTAAACCACATATCAGTTTCACGAACCCAGTTAATTTTGGAAAAGATAAAGTTTTCCTAAAGGTTCCTTTTGGTACTTTTTGCTTTTTCTGTACCCCATGAAAGTTTATGGACTCATTTTATGTTTTTGATTGAAGGTAAGACGATCTTTTGTAAAAACTTATGAGCAGATCCAGCTTTTTGCGTAACACCTAAACCACTTTCAGAATTTTCTCGTGCATTCAGTCTCTCGAATCGCAGTTGCGAAGGTACGAATAAAATGGCCCAACGAATACGCTGTTTTATGTGGATAGTCCCACTAAAAGATAATGGGCATTTTTCAAGTGGAACTACAAGTTTAAAGTGCTTACTACTGACTTTTTTAAATGAATTTACGTAATTTGAGATTAGGTTTTCGGTCACCAGTTACTTATTGTGTAGTATTACGCATCCCCTTAGACAGCATGAAAAATGTGCTATCCATTGCTGTGGTTGTTCCTAGGACACGACAATAATTTTAGAATTGAATATCAACCATCTTCAAGCAAAAATTAGTAATGTATTCATTCTAACATTCATTCCTCATTCCTGGAGGCTAGCTTGTCGCCTTCCATTCTGTTTTGCAAGAAACACCTCAACTAAAACTTTCTCGAATAGTGCTGGCTCGGGTTGTTGTTATTTACTGAGATGCCCTTTGGTTCACAGCAACGTATGGTAAACTGCTCACGATATCCTGTTCCCTCCCCTTTAAAGATTCGTTCACAGGAACCTACTACTCACTACCCTGTAGTATTACTAGCTGTCAACCCTCTCTCTTGCTGGCTCTCTGGTCTTCATTTTTGTTACTAAGCCAACTCGTGTGAGAGATCTGATAAACTAGCTTTATTCACTTCCTTGACTGATGTTACGGCTAAGGGTTCGTCGTTAATATCACCTTTTACGTCGGATTATTGCAACTATCGTAACAAGGGCCAGATTTCTTTAAATGGAAGTTAGCGTTTCCGCCAGTAAGTTGCTGTTACAGATGCCAATTCGTTAGTAAACCACAACTCTTAGTAGGAGATCAAGGACAAGTCTGAGATCTTAGAAACGTACTGAAATAGCAAAAAGAGGTACTGGTTGGTGCTGTGGAACATAAGAACAGTTACGCTCACAGTAAGAGTGTACAAAAACAAACATCAAAGACTATTTGGGCGTGCCAGAAGAACGTCCACCGTAGTTGCGCCTGAATTTTTAAAACTCTTAATTA